AACAAATGCAGAATTCACACCCAAGCAGCAGCTCAAAAACATGCTAAGATGTGGCTGGACCCTTCCCTTACATCCCCTCCCAAAGGTGATCTGGCACAAGGCAGGATCTGCAAACATTGCTAACCCTCACTATGAAGGGGAAAGGAGTTAGGAAAGCTTTCTCCAGGACAAGGGCTCGTCCATGTCTGAGCCTCACACCAGGTGCTTCATCTTCTCCCTTCCACTCTTTCTTCCTATCCCTCAAGTAAAATCTTCATAGCAGAGCAGATTTCTGCAAGAAAAAAAACTCTTTCTTGCTATTTTCCAGCCATCTAGGTGTGCAGGATTTTGAGGATTGAGTTGTGTCTCAGCAACTGCTTTTGAGACTGCAGTGCCCTAGCGGGAACAAACGATCAAGTCCTGCAAGTAATGAGGGTCCCTCCCCGTGCTGTGCACACATTTAATTGTTGAGTTACGCTTCCTGTTTCTTCTCAATGCTAATGCTTTCTCTGAAATTCTCTTCCAGTGTTTCCAGAAGAACTTTTGACCCCAAGAGTGTTTTTAAACTTATGGCATTGTTAACTTCTTCCTTATTATGCTTGCATGGCTACAGGTAATTACTTATGGATTCCCTGGTAAGGCAGAAAGGCTCGTGACAGAAAATAACTAAGCAAAACTACGGCTCAGATAAAAAATCAAAATGGGGAGGAAGGGGGGAGTTAAACAAAACAGGTTTATTTATCCACTTTCAGCTGCATGTCTTGCAAAAAACACAAGTGGGTTTTGGCAGGTGTAAGGACACCCGTCTCACGCACGAAATCTTTAACCTGAGCCATCCTGTTTCTGTTACTTGTAGGAAGAAGGATCAAGACCTTGCTGGATCACGGCCATCTCTGCATTCAGTGCACCCAGAGCTCGTGTGAAGGTACACACCAAGCACTTCAGGTCAACGCAAAATGGGCAAAAGGGCCTTGCCAGCCCACAGCAGAGGGTCACACATCCAGGGATGCTGCCAGAAGCTGTGTCCCCAGGGCTTGCCTGCATGGTGAGCCTGGGCATAAGGAGGCAAATCACTTCTCTGCCCAGCTACCCCTGAACAGGTTAGGCATAACAGTAACCTCCTTTCCCAAATAAGGTATTTCTCTTTAGTACAACTCAATTCTGCATGGAATAGACTCTGCTCAGAGTCCTGCCTCAAACGCCATGAGTGGCAGATACCCAGAGGAGAGCACAAGATTAAGTAAAGTACAGAGGAACAGTCCCCAGCCTTCCTTCCCTGCCTCCAGCAACTACAGAGACAAACCTCCTGAGGCAGACCTCCTCTTCTTCTATTTAGTAACTTCGAATTTCAGGCCATTAAGATGAAGCTGGTCACTGAAGTTGAACACTTCAAAACCAAAGTACTCAGATCATCATATATTGAACAATAGCACTACCAGAAACAAAGGCAAAAAACTTTTGAAGCAACAAAGAACAGCACATGCCTCTGTCTAGGGACAAAAAATGCCCCAAATTCATTAGACACTCTGCAAATTCTTGGCAGACATGCTCTCTCTTTAGAGTTCATTTCCCAGTTTGCTCCAGCAGCCAGCAATACAGTGACAGATTAAATTTCAAGGAACAGAAATACTGGGAAAAGTGAATTAGAATTAAAAACAAATCATCAAAGACAAATGCTATCATATCATCCTATTTCATTTGGACAGAAATAATGACATTTAAAAATAGCAATGTCAACTGCACAAGGCAAAATATGGATTGGAGGCGGGGAGTGTGTGTGGAGGTTTAAAAACCCCAAAGTGCCTCAGGACAGTTGAGCACATCATGACTCTGTGGCTCAGTACTGCATATGTGAAGTTAAGGAATATTTTGATCAAAATGCACTTTAAGGATATCATTACAATCCCTCTCCTGCCTTGCAGCACAAGTTTTATTAAGAGTTAGAACTTTAACGGATTGTCACGGACTTTAGGACTTTACATGAGAAGGCTGTAAAAACAGAGCTCTAATAAACTGTATTACAAATTTTTCATTAATGAAACACAACAAGTGAACTTTCAAGTAATATTTAGAAGTGATATTTCTCTTAAGTTACAGTTTTCAAGTGTCCCTAAACTTCTGCTGTGTCCTAGTGAAGGTGACTAGCTCAAATTATATTCTCTTAGCTAAAAACACTGGACTAGAATTCAAGAGTTTTAAAGAACTTGCTCACTGGGAAAATTTTTAACATTCATCCCCAATAATATTTTTAATTTTTTTTTTTAATTTTTCACAGAATCATAGAAAGCCAGGTTGAATGGGACATTTGGGTGACCCTGGTCCAGCCCCCATCTCAAAGCAGAGACAACTCAGATCAGGTTCCTCAGGGCCTGGTCCAGCTGAGTTCTAAATAACTACAAGGATAAAGATGTGAATGTACACCTTAGTTCCAAGTGATTACTTTTTCCTGCCTCATTCAGCCTTTAAGCAATCAGGTGCCAAGTCATCAACAGCAAGTCCATCAGGTCTATAAATTACAGTTCTGAATACTCAGCACTTAACTATATCCACAGCAAGGCTAATGAAAGACGATCTCAAACAACCCTAAGAGCTCCTGCAAGTTTTGTAGTGTCTTCTATACTTGCTCAAGAATTAGATACACACTGCACTGGGCAGAAAAGGGACAGTGAAGCCTCAGCTGATAATAAATCATTCCAAATTACCTAACCACCCAACGCATACAGCATTACTTTAAGGCTCTACAAAGTCCTGCACAGTAAACAAGAAAAGTCATCAGCCTCTTGTCAGAGGTGAGAAACTGGTGGTGAGACCAGGAACTCCTGGCCAGACCTGGGCTGAGAGTTATTTTCAAATCTGAGATGTGTGATGCTTAAACCGAGGCCGCTGTCTCAGTTGCCTGGTCCAGACCTTGAGTACCACCCACCCTGGAAGTCTAAAACAATTACATTTGCACTGATTAAAAATGGTCCAGCTCAGTTCCTCCTTTAATCACAAGTCACACTGTTATTCCATAAGGAATATAATGGAATATATATGAGAGAAAGAGAAGACACATGAGTATTATCAAGAAGTGGGTGCAGCAAGGAATAGTAATTTTCAAAGCAATTTTGCATTCATTTATGACTATATATATGTATTTAAAAAATAAAATCATGTGATGCTTCATGTTCGTACCGACCTTGAAATCAGCTTCTAAGCTTGGCTATGAAAATTGCCTCACCCCTCCTGAGAGTCACCAAAAATTTATTACATTTCTTTGAATTAAATCCCCTCCAACCACAACAAAAAATTAATAGAAAGAGAGAAAAGAAGAAAAAAAATTTGTTGCTATTCTTCTAATGTGTTTATTGTAATCAGGTTTCTGTGATTTCCCCTCCATCCCCAACTGATGTGTTATGAAAGCACAGAGCTATTGCCATCAGGAGTGAGACAGGCAGGCAAATCAAACTGCCTCTGACTTAGCCTACCACCACTGCCAGCTGAAGCTGCACTGGGACAGACACTGGGGCAGGCTCCAAATTCACGTCCCTGCCGAAGCCCTCTGGGCAGGCTTGTGCAGCTGGGTCTTTATGGTGGTGTGCACCTCAGCTACCAAGCATTATGTTAACCTGGAAAGAAAACGCCTGATAAAAAAGCCACCACTGAAAACCAGGCAGAGGCTTGCTGGAAAGTCAGGAGCAAGACAAGTGACAACTAATTCCCAGTGTGTGCTGAAAGAGTCACTGGAATGCTGGGGAGATATGGCCTCAAGCCACATATAATCACGTTTTGACAAAATATATTTTTGCGTCTAAGCATTGCTGAGCCACAGCCTTATGGAAAACTACCAGAATTTGAAACATGATATGTAGAAGAATTTGAAGTATTTTGATAGCGAAAGGAATGCTTAGGTGCCCACTCCAGTTAGCAGACAAACACTACACCATCATCAGCATGCTAAAAATCCCTGAGGTATTTGTTTCTCCCTTCCTTCCCCTAAAACGGCACCCTGGCACTTAGAAGAGAAGACAGTACAGAAATAACGTACCTTGTCACAGTAAAGAGATGTGTGAGAAGGAGGACAGTTATAAGCATAGACTCAAAGCAAGTCAGAGATAACAGGCAGGTATGAACACCAGCAGTAGCTAGACTACAGTGTGAGAGTTGTCCAGAGGAATGGGTCTTTTGCTCAGAAAAGAGAAAGAATACAAACCCAAAACACATAATCAAACCCGTATCATATCTGGGCCACACAAAAGTTTAAGAGATTTATTATAACTGGTGCAGAAAAGAAGGGGAAAAAAGACAAGAAGAGAAAATTAAAAAAATAGAAAAGCTTCAAGCGAATCCACCTGCTTTCCTTCACTGGAAAATCAGCCTGCAAGCTCTTTAGAGTAGCAAACATCACTTTATTCTTTGTCTGTACAATACAACAGAGAACAAGAACACTGTTCAAATTTCAGAAAGTTGCTACGTCACAAATAAATAACGATAATCCACTTAATCTATGCTTAATGCAGCCCTGAAGGGAACAAAAGTGAGATTATCAACTGGCAGCAGAACATCAGTGACAATTCACAGCCAGAAATTTGTATCTCTCCCCCCAAAAGCGTCTGTTGGCTTCAACAGAGCAAATAAAAACTTGATGTCTTGGATCAGGAACTGTTAAAGACGAGGAAAAGAAGAGCATGTTACCGCGTAAGCACTGCGAGAGACTTTGCATCAGATCCAACAAAAGCAGTGGAAGCGAGTGGAAAACAATCCAGAGAGAAAAACAAAACCATGATTGCCACATAGCTTGGAAGACATGAGAGGTCCTGCTCGCTGTGCTGCTGCTTTGCTGCAGCACAGTAGCAGAGCTGGCAGATGCTGTGGTCGATGCCATCCCTATTCCAGCCTGTTACCCACATCCCGTGCAAAGAAGGGCTGGGTGGGATTGCCCCATCTGGAGGATCTGATCCGTGTCAGGCTGTAGGAGAATGTGACAGATGCAAACGGGCGTCAAAGACAGAGTAAAAACGTCACACCAAAGCCACACTTACAGCGACCAGTTTTTCAGGAGACACATTCACTCCTTTCACATCTTCTTCTTCTGGCTCTTCATTTTCTTTATTGTCAGTGCAAGAGACAGAGTCTTGGACTGAGCAAGTGCTAAGCAAGTCTGGCAAACTGGTAGATGGGTACTTCAGAAAATCCCCTTCAGCAGATTCCTACCCAGAAAACAACAAAATATGTTACATCATGTGCAATGAACTGCCAAAGTCCTGGTGAAACCACTTCATTTGACCTGCCTAGTGAGAGCTCCCTGGTAATCCTCCTCTCGTTACACACTTCCATGTGGTCAAACTTTAATGGTCCAGTTATAAAAAGCAGAAAGTGCATATACAGTAAACACAGGCCAATACACATCTAAAACATTTAGATTTCATAAAGGAGAATTTAAAACAAATGCTTCCCCAGCAGCCTTCTCCTCCCCACTTTGGGTTTATTAAATGTCACTGCAAGCAGACCCAAGAGTTTACAGACCTCATTTCCTCATTTCATTGCATCCCAAATCACACTCTGTTCCTGCTCCCTCCCTGAGGATATTTCCTTCACACACATTTCTACCTACATGCATAAGAATAATACAGACAACCTTACTTAGGAGAACAAAATGAAAACTGACCCACTGACCCTCTGCCAACTCAGTCCTGATGCTTCAGGATCTGTTGCAAACCTTTGGCACCTTTTCCAGGAGGTGAACATGTATCGACTGAAAGCCGTGGGCCAGACAGACTAATTTTCTTGCTTTCAGAACAAGTCCCGTGTTCAGGAGCACTCACCAGACCAAGTTGCAAGGCTGCTTTCTCATACCAACAAACAATGCCCAGAGGAAGCTGCTGGGGACTGCTTTACCTCTTTACACCTTTTCTGAGACCGCCTGAGAGACAGCACAGGCTGGATTCCCCACCACTTGCTTCTTTGAGTCCTACTCCCAGGGACCTGAAAACAGTCCAAGTGCACAGAGCACAGACCAAACTGATTCACAGCCTGGTCAGCAATGTGAAGTCTTATGCTGTAAACTTATTCACAATGGTTATTTTGATGCAGTCATCAAGTGAACGAGCAAGTAATTTTAAGATGAAATTTATGTAGTTCACCACTTTGCATTTTGGCAGAGAGTCCAATTATCTAAAGGAAATACAAAATGTACCTACTTCACGTCAAAGTGAGTTGTTTCCAGAATAAATACTGGTGAGGTTAATACCAGGCTGTGAGCCTACAGAAGGTCTTCAATGGACTGCACTGTCTAACTGAGATATTAAAGGAGTTATAGGCTCTTCACTTTAAACATGGTGGGATTGAACCTCTTCTTGAACAACACGAGCATAAAGAAGCCCAGGACGCCACAAGAGCATCCAGACATTAAATTCACAGAAACCTGCATGAGGCTGGTGTGGCAACATGAAGATGAAGCTAAGGAAAACTTTAAAAATACTGACAAAGTGGGTTGCTAACACTTTGTGCTCCACCTGGAAATGGAGGTTTACAAGTAACCCCTTTGGCTCAAGATGTTACTGCAATCACCCCAAAGGCTCTGATGGCCCCCATCTGCAGGGAGGTCCTTCTTTGAGACCCTGGGCACTTTCAGGAGCCAGCTGGCCACCCACCAAATCCCTGCATCAACTCAAGTTGGGGAGCAGCAGGCTGTGGTCCACAGAGGAGAGGAAGTGGGTGTGGCTATGCTCTTCTTAAGCAAAGGACAAAACGTTGTGTAATATCCCCTCAACCTCATCTATGATGAAAGGCAAATGAAGAGCCTGACTGATGAGTCTGACTCTAATTTCCCTGAAATTTCATGCTCCTTTATCTGCAAGAGCTCAATTCCAAGCTATTAACAAGGACAAAATAAGGATCTCAAGCCAAGAGATCATCATCAAGAGACGTCAAGCACACAGATAGGACAAGAGAGGAGAGCTACGGCAGCTATGCAGGCAGGAAGCAGAAGAGGTTGAGAACAGCCTGCTTTATTTAGCATATATTTTAAGAAAACGGTTTTGCCCAGAACTTAAGTAACATCTGCACAAATAAATACAGACTCATTTGCACACTGAATGACTGTGGCAATACACGCAAATCATAAAATTCACCTGTACCATGCTGATATGCTGCATATTTATGGCAACTACTGATACGTGCATTAAATTTAGGGGAGCAAATGTGCCCATGTGATTCCCTATCAAGAATACATTTTCCACACAGCACTTGCACAAACTCTTGTGGAAGAAACCACCGTCCCTGCAGAAACCACCAAGGAGAGGACTGTACCTTGCTAGCAACCACCAGCTGCACCAGGCCAGTGGCTGAGCGAAGGAGAGCCACAGCATCCTGGTGGGAGAGCCCCACCAGCGACTGCCCGTTGATCATGAGGAGCTCATCACCCGCTGTCAGCCTGCCGTCCCTGCAGAAACAGAGTGGAAACATGGAGCTGCAGGGGGGTCCTTCGCCAGTGCCAGGCTCTGATGGCATGCAGTGGGACACAGAGGCATGGACAACATGTGATCTGGCTGACGCTAAGCTCACATCAATCAGTGCAGTGTCTTTTTGCCCAAGTAAGTGGCTCAGAAAGGTGCATCTAGGAAATGTTTGCTATAACCAGAGCCATTTCACCCTCTTTGCACTCCCAAACCTTCTCCAAGCCCCATGGGAGAAGGCTGAGGAGCAGCAATGATCCCCATTCCTCCCCCATCTGGGAGTGGGTCCTGGGCTGGCAGTTGAGTGCCCTGGGTTGCACGGTCCACACTCAGTGAGTACTGCTGATCCCATGGGAAAGGCCCATCTTCTAATACGGGATTTGGGGAAAAATCCCTACAACCCATCAAGCTCCTTGGTTTACAGTGTTTCACCAAGCAGTTGACCTGTCTGTAATTTGGACTAGAGATGCTGGAAGAAGCTTCAGTGACCAATCACAAAACTAAGTTTTTAAGCTAAAAGTGCCATATTCTCACACAATGGGAGGGCAAAACCCCCACATCTGTCTCATGAGCCTGTTTAACAGGGATGGTCATGGATGTTCCATCACACCCACCCCCACGAAGGCACTGACATCACCTCACCTGTGTGCGGAGCCTCCTTCCTCCACGTGGGTGACGATGATGCTGTGAGGGGACCGCTTCGACCCTCTGCCTCCTGTTATCTGGATTCCCAGCCCGTTCGTCCCCTTCAGGATGTGCATCTTCCATATGCGGCAACCTTCTCGCTGAGAGAAAACGTGCAGAGAGTCCTTGAATTTGGATTTGGACACTGAGAGAGGGCTGGGAGGGTACAGGAGGGAGCTGTTTAGCACCTTTGCTGCCCATCACCACACATCCGTGCAGTTCAAGCTATACAGGTGTTTTTGCTGAGCTTTGCTGTGTTAGCTGTGGTCCAAGCGAAGGAGGCAGAAAGGAGAAGGCAGCACAGAGCAGTGTCAGCATGTAGAGCTTTCCTTGCAGGGCTGTTTGCAGCTTTTATGAGCCACACAGGGGTGCTGCTCACAATGCCCTGATCGTTCCCGAAGCAAGCCCTCAAACCCCTTCACCAAAATTCAAGGATGAGCTGTACAGGGCTGCAGAGAAACAAGATGTTGTTCAAGGGGGACCTTGAACACTGAGTAGCGTAGCTGCTATTGCAGCAGGGACCAGACTGGCATCACACCCTCCAGGGTGGTTTGCAGGATTTGAGACACAGGAAAGAAAATACCAGCTTATCAGATGCCCATCAAATATATCTTGTTGGACAGATGTTGTACAGTCTGCAAATAATAAATTTACCCACTGCAGAGAATAACGTCTCAATATAAGCAAGGTAATAAATGATGCTTAAGACACTTTTATTTTTTTTTTTTAATGATTATAAATATTTATCCAAAAAGTGCTTTACAAGCTCCAGAACAACACAAAATGCAAAACAAAAACTAATTCCCATGAGTCCTAGGTTCCCATCAGGACTTGGTACAAGGAAACACAAGTGTGGTAGGTATCAGCAGAGCTAAAACGGAAAGAAAAAAGCAAGCAAGACATGTAAGTTGATTGCGAGGACTTTCTCAGAGGGGGAAAGAACCACGATAACAGAATGATGAGAAACCCTAGGAAGTCTTCAAGCTTGCAAGACAGTAAAATGTACAATTTGGAGGCAATTTTTAGGCCATGTGGTGTAATCACTGGGCACTGGGTCAGCTATTTCTGACTAGGTCTGTTCTGCACACAAGTAACATTCTCACAGTACTCAAACACCCACGTAGCAAAGATGATTAAAGTTTTATGCCAAACCATTAAGAGCATGTACAAATTGCTGCTTGTTTCTGAGAAGGGGAACTGCTAAATCTATCATTAAGCCCACGGGGTTGTGGAAGCAACCTGTAGATTCTAGGCTAACATTGTTTATCAAAGCTTTTATTAAGTGAAGAAAAGGTGTCTTTTTTACTTGACCACTGGGGCCCTATGCTGAAACTTTTAAATGCAATACAAGATGAGTGTTTCAGATAAAGGCACAGACAGGTCAGTATCCACACCAATATCTTCAGAACAAAGTCAAAAATAATAATAATGTTACACAGCCCCTAGATCACAGGTAAGAGGAATGAGAAAAATAAACCAGGTGCCTTAAAGTTTGAGCCTGAAAACATGTACACCTGTGGGTAACCTGCTAACCTGAAAGTCATGCAGATGGGAAATATCCCAACAGGTTTAACTTGGATCCTCAGTGCAACGATAAAAGCCCAGTCTCCTGCTGATGTGTCAGGACAGAGAACAGTTTGATATAAACTAGAGTGATACGTGAGATGCCGTGCTAAATGCAGGGGGCAAGAGTCAACTATATCTATCTACTTAAACACCAGAATTGAGCTACACTATAAAAATGCTCCAGAGAGTTTTTATTGCTATAAAGTATCTTGCACCCATAATGAAAACAGTGTAACAGAGAAACACAATCTCTCTGCCTCCCCCAGCCAGGCCCAGGCTGAAACAATGACCAGCTATTCTCTTCACAAGATATCACTCCGAGTGTCCTGTCGTTAAATCCAGTTTGGAAGCAGACCCTCCAATAAAGTTTAACAATGCAGTCATAAAATTGTGCTTAATGATTTGCAAAAGCTTCTTGGAATGTGAATTATGCAAAGGCCCACGACACGCAGTGCCTAGCTTGCACTCCTCAGCACTCCTCGCTATCACACATTTTATTTTAAAAAAAAAAAAAAATTCCCAAATTTATTCTTAACTGATACACTCTCAAATATTCACTAACATAGCAAAACACTTGGCAGCAAATAGCAAGACTCCAATGTTCTTAATGCAAGCTCTACCTTATTCCCCTTGAACTCCCACTGAAGCCAAAAGCACTCGCAAAATAAAGCATTACTCAGTCTGCACATCAGCAGCTGAACACAGCCACAATAAAGACAACTAAACCATCAGGCACATACGTACGCCTTTCACTGTTTTCAAATGACATGGTCACCATCTCCTGTGCAAGAAGAGGTTGTCCCTCACATCCTCACTGGTCAGCAGTATGTGTTTCATTGGGAATAAACAGTTTGGCTTTGATGGGAAATAATATCCCCTAACTGCTCCTTCCCTTTTCTGCATAAAACATTCATAGCTTCATTTAACCACGTGCTACAAAGCAAATGCCCCCCACCAATACACATATAACTCCAAGGTACGTCAATCCAAGATTTTGAAAGCTAAGTATTAAAAAGCAAACTGCTAGCCTTTGCTTGAGGCCTCTTGGTGAAAGGGGGAGTTCAGGAGAAACCCCCCTCCCCTCCCCACGAAGCTGCTATCTCTTTTGCACAGAGCAGCACAGGATACTTCACAGCCAGGTAGGAAACGCTGCTGCTTTCAATGTGCATCTTACGTGACTCCACCACAGGATAGCCTTAATCATAAAGCTCTGTGTCAATTCCAAGGATTTGTAAATGCATTTAAACTTTACTTAAAACTGTTTTTTGTGAGTTAAACTGTGGAGATTCCTAGGTTCAACAACACAAAGTCTAAGGTTTTAAAAAAAAAAAAAAGTAAAAAAAAAAGTAGAATCATGTGTGTCTTTAATTTTATTTTTTTTTTAAAGGATACCATTTTCAAGCTTTCCTTCATGAAGAAAAAGACTACAAGCTCATTAAGTCTTCATATGAAAGCTATCATTCTGGTGTATTCACTCCACTCCAGAGACTTACAACACCCAAGGGAAACACCAAGTGTTAGAATCGACAGTTTGCATGTCTGCTGTCACTGTCCTTGGAGCCTGCAGAATCCCTGCCTGCAGGAGGACAAGTTTAACTGCTAACTAGTCTCCTCTGTGATCAGCTGGGCAATTCTGGTTGCAGCTTGGCTGCTGTCAGTTTCATATTCTTTTTAAAATCTGAACATTTCCATCCTCTCAGAATAATTCTCCTAGCTTCATTTATAAATGACTCAGAATCATCCCCCCAGCTTCATTCACAAGTGACACAATAAATCTGCACATGTGAACAACTCCATGAAGTGCAAAAGCATTTCAAGCCTAAAGAACAGAGATGCGCCAGTACCAGTCCAGCCAGGTATCTCAAACTCCAGACATCCTGGCCAACAACAGAAACAGAGGCACTAACAGCTCTTATCGCAGCCAGGGACTAGGCAATACCCAGCTCCAGTCACTCTCACAAACAAGGAGACCAACCTATACCCTTAACCAAAGGCAGGCCACAGTAACAAATCTCAGCACTTGAGAAACCAACTGGAAAGGGTTCACTAGGTAACATGGGCTGAATACCTGTATATGACAACCCAGAAAATTTAATGCAATTCACCTGAGATTCAGCCAAGACGGACACCTGGAAAGACGTCCATGCTTGCTTTGAGAATGTCGATGGAATAAGAAGCCAGAATTTCCCTGCAGAGATTTGTTCCCCATCTCCTGGGAGCAAATACCAATTATGTTCAGATCCACCCCACAGACCTTGCTTCCAAATCCAGAACAGCAGCAGATCTGCCTACACAGAGAGACCATGGATTCCTCTCAAAGGAAGAGGTTTATGGACATGATGGACCAACATTTGTCAAAGAGGGTCTCAGAGCAGGAGATGACACCAAGTGATCTCTTGAAGTCCCTTCCAAACCTATATTTTTTTACCTTCTTCACAGAGCAAGCAGATACATAAATGGTCAAGTAAGGTTGTAGTTGGGCTAATTTTTGTTCTCTGCAGTTAAATCACTGTTAGGTGACTCAACTTTCCTCCTAACTTGGCTATTTAGAGCAGGCACCTCTTCGGATCAGATTTTTCCACTTGAAGCTGATCAACTTCAAAGTGCCTAAGCTACAAATAATTAAAATGTTTTTAAAGACAGTATGAATATTCTACTTGGATTAATAGCAAGCAAAAAAAAAAAAAAAAAGTGGGTCATCTTATGTAACAGACCGCAAGCGAGAATAGAGAATACAGCTGGCAGCTTCAAGTAGGTCCCCGCAGGCCATTTTTTCTCCACTGTGAAGCCATTGTACATCAGGCAGCCTCTGTTCAGAGCAAGCCTACATCTGGAATGAACTAGCGTGGTGCAGATCAGAAAGGCAGCACGCTGCCAGCACGACGTGGGGAAGCTCGCCTTCTGCCTGCTCCAAGTGCATACCATCAAACGCTCTATTTCATAAGCACATCATTAATAAAACAAAAAGGAACTTTTTTCCTTCGAGTGTTGAGGAAAATAAATAAATAAATAGAAGACATTGGAGCCGTTCTTCCCCCCTTTTCTTCCACCAGCTAATTGCAGGGGAGTTTAAAGCGGTTTGACTGATTTTGACTGTGCCATTTTCAAGAAGCTGCAAATCTACATATACAAAGGAAAAACTGCTTTGAAATCTTGTATTAAAGAAAAGCTTGGCAGGAGCAAGGTGTAAACAAATGGAAAACAGAAACGCAGTAAGTAGTTAAAAAGCCAGACAGTGAAATGGAAAATGTAAAATAGCTGTCTACAAAAAAAAAAAAAAAAAAAAAAAAAACACCTTTCTGTCAGAGCAGCAATTCAGCCAAACCTGGTGTAAATATGTAACAATTTTAAAATAAAACCAGAGATAAGCCCTGATGAGAATATCAATAATCACACAAGGTCTGTACGCACACCACACACTGGCTGCCCCAGACCCTAACACCACCCATGGGATGCCTCCCTCCCTCTGCATTTCAACATGGATTTTTACTGTCTGTCTGCACAGACCAGTTCCCACTTACAAACTTCACAGGTT